TCTTTTTGAGATAAAAAATATATCCCAAAAAGAGGAATATTGATATCAATAATATAAAAGTACAGTCACATCATTAATATATAATTTTATATATATATATATAATTATATATTAATGATGTAACTGTACACTAGACTTTTATATAATTGATATCAATATTCCTCTTTTTGGGATATATTTTTTATCTCAAAAAGAGGATTGCTGAAAAGGTATATAAACGCATATACGCTGAACAAATATATTATAATTTCCTTAGATATTATAACTTTGTCTTATTTTGTACCTTATATAACAAATAAGTGATTGTGTAACAATACGAAGTTATTTTTCTTGAAGAATACATTTTGTTGTGTTACAGAAATTATAAGCTTTATTTCTTTCCGATTTGACGCTTTTGGTATCATTTAGTGAGTTAATAGAACAGTGTGTGTAAAAAATAAAATGTCGATGTAAGATTGTGTATGTGCAGTTATGACTGTATTACTAGAAGTACCCAATTTGATATTGGATATCGAATTGAAATATTGTAATTTTGCTAAATCTAGTGCAGTCGTTGGTGAAGAGAACAGAAACTTAGATAAACTCGGCACCACATACGCTTTCATATTCGAAATTTGGGCACGAGAAACTTGGCTTTCAAGCCAAGCGCCGTGCCCAGATATTCACACCTACGTACAATTGGTGTTGCGTATACTTTCTCACTTTAACATCCGCTTTAACATTCGCATTTTCCAACTTCATATGTAAACGTACACGATGTCGAGTGTACGTATTCCGTGCAAGAAGAAACAACTCATAAGTCCTAGTATTTACAGAAAGAACCGTCGGCTCACGAATTAGAAGAAGCTTAAGGACTCAAATGTACAACTTCAACGGAGTTACCGGTAGAAGTTGTTATTTGCGATCTGAGTTGATGATTTTCGTGTTTTAATTGGGTTATTAACTGCTTCAATGCCGTGATATCCTGACGCAGCTTCTCGTTCTCCTGCAGACACTGGTTCAGGTTTTGATTGGTTGCGCGCAGCTCACCTATGTACTCGCAAGCCTTCGCTAAGATGCCTCCTTTACTCTGTTATAAGATAACAATATGTCTTTTAAGTCCGACTTGCATAAAAAAAAACAGCAGTAATTATTAATAGCAAGAAACTAACAATATAAATAGTTTTAGCAAAAATATATTCTTCAGAAAACGATTTATTAGATGTTATTAACAATTAAAATTGCAACAATTTTAATGTGAAAAATAAATGTTACTAACAAAATTAGAAAAACTATTTATCATGATTAAACTGATAACATCAATGTTATTAGTAAAAATATTCTCAAATGTCTTCAACAAAATTGAAAAATTTTTAATTGTTAATAATAATTGTTATTAGCAAATATGTGCTATACATAAATTTTACAAATTTTGTAATACAATCAAAACAAAACCTTTTAACAGTGTTGTTAATGCATATCTAATTCATTCTTCTGCTAATAATTTATTTTCAATATCCTTTGATGTAGAACATCAAATGATGGGTTGCAGAAATATCTTTGGCAATGTTTGTAACAAAGTTATCAGCATGTTACCAAAATAAATAACTTTTATTTTCCGTAAAATGTTGAAAACAAATATTATTAATATTTTTCATTCCAAAATAATAAAGTTAATAGAAAAGTGTGTTTAACTTTTTTTGTAACTTGTTGGAAATCTTTGTTTTCAACAAATTTAAATAAGACAATTTACATTTGTTAGTAATGCTGTTAGAAACACATATTACTAGCAAATGTTATTTCTGATCTTTATAGCAAAAACCGATAAATAATTACGCGATATCGAAAGTTACACAATTTACCAGAGTCTCATAATTGGTTTTTGCCTCTCCACTACTGCTGATTCCAATAGTCGTGCTTGCATTGCACTCGGGTATAATCTTACCCAATTTCGCAATCCAATTGTTTATTTTATCTCTACGTCGACGCTCGACTTCGTTGTGTGTTGCTCTTCGTCTATCATCCCTCTACAAAATGACAAATTTTATTTCTAGCTTATCTTAAACTACAAATTCAGCAATGAACATTATGGTTGGGTTTAATATAGGAAGCTGCTTTACAACTGTCAAATTCGCACATTTGATTAGTATATGCTTCTAGATTTAGCCAAGATTTAGAACATACATTAATTAGATCCACAAATTTTACAATAGTTACAGTTTTCTCTGCTGAACATACCCAATATACTGATATGATATACAGCTGATTTTTTAACTTCTGGATAAGCTAACTATGAGTTAAATCATGCATGTCTTTATTTTTCTTTTTATATTAGACAAAGATATACATATGATTTAACTGTTAATTATTAAAGTAAGAAAAATTGATCCATAATGTGTACCTTTTTCAATCCAGTGGTACAATTTCTTGATGTTTCTATTTGTAATGTTGTTGCTCTTGGTACTAAAGATCTAGATGTCTGCGCTGTAGTAAAAACATCGTTGGCATTTCCAACAATATAAAACTGTCCATTCAAAGGTGATGTTAGTACTTGTACGGTGTTGTTTCCTGGTTGTGATACAGGTAGTTCTATTTCATTGGCTGATTGTAAGGCAGTGCTGTTCACTTGAACAACTCTGTAAGCTAGGGTTTCTTGGTAACGCATATCATCTTCTCCAACAGGTTCTGCTGATGAAACAGACACATGTATGAAAATTGATTCTCCATCATCCAAGGAGTCATGTAAAGAGTGGACATTGTAGCCAGGATGTGGCTTACAAATGACAAGACACGAACGTAAAGTTTTTTCTTCCTCATATGGCCTTTTTCCTTACCTTCGCAATCCACGAATTCTGCTTCCTCTATAACAATCCCCGTTCCACTGTCGTCCTTCACGGCGCTGCAAAACAGATAAGGTGTTCAGACGCATTGTCGAGGTTACTGATCTCGGCTGGGAGTCGCTGCACTAGGTGTATTACTTCGGATGATTACTGTGTGTCGATCCTAGCACGGCTCGTTAAATGCGTACTGTGGCACTACATGATGACCTTGAGGAGACCTCGGACAAGACGGAAAGGATAAGGTGTTCGCGATATCGGACAGCTGATACTAAACATAAACGCTACCTTGCATCCTGCGACTCGATATGCTGCCCCAAAATGTCCATTTCTTCGCCACCAAAAAAAAAAACGTTTGAATTTGTCAAAATTCACGTGAGCTGGTCACGGGACACGCCAACGAGGTCATGTGGTGCACAAGATGGCGACAAACGTAATGCAGGCCATCTCGCGTTGTAAGAATGGAACCTCGTTCAACGCGATGATTCTAATAATAGGCAATTACCTTTACGTAGGTAAAATATACATACGTATGCATCTTTATGTTTGATTTTATTTTGGCATATAAAAAGAAAAGTCATCTCATTTGCTCTTTGTAAATTCGGAAATAAAAAATCTTTTATCGTACACAAAAATTAAAGATGGCTTTTCTCGGTTACATAAGAAGCAAAATTCGACGAACTATAACTGAAAGTTAAGTAACTTCCGTAAAAATAATAATAACGAGGTGATTTGAAAACTACAGTTCGCAGTTTCCAGATATCAGATAATTTTTTCAAATGTAAAGTTTATCTTCTTCCTTGCAGCGCTCTCTCTCTCTCTCTCTCTCTCTCTCTCTCTTTCTTTCAATATTGGTTCAAGGTAATCCTTCGATTTTTCCCCAACATTATTCTAATTGTTGGGGAAAAGAAAATAAGAAAATAAATATGGGCTAATATTCCCCGAAAATAATTTTGAGGATTGTTTCCAAAAAAAATCTTAGATCACGTCTGAACATTCGGATACGTCTATATGCCACGGCGGTTAGGCCGGAACTTCTTGCAGCGCGCGCTACATGAATATGAATAAAAAATCTATCGACTAAAGATCATCGAATTTTAAAAAATCGAGAAAACAATCGATTCTTTAACGAAGAAAGTCGAGCATCGATTCTTTGGTCGATCGTCGCCGGTACTTATAAAGCAATATTCTGATTGGTTCTTCGGCTTGAGTTTATGTTTTACATTTACAGCTACGGGATTTGTGTGCGATGGCCCTCATTCCTTGGCGCGAGAAAGAGGCGTGCGAGTAACACGCTGTAAAGTTCGTTATTGAGACCGCGAATCCTCTCCGGCACCCACCAGGATGACCAGGTGAGCGACTCAAACTTTTCAAGGTTATGTCTGTCTGACGAAACTGTTGTTTAAAGCTATTTCTTTTGAATTAGATTTCGAACGCCAGGATGTCCTACAGTATTAATAGACATCACTGGATGGAAGCGATTCTGCATTTGATCTGACCGTGTTTTTCATTGCAGGTCGAAAATAGAGCTGGGAGACGTGACACCTCATAACATAAAGCAACTAAAATTGCTCAATCAAGTTGTATTCCCAGTGTCGTACAATGAAAAGTTCTATAAGGATGTACTGGAGGCTGGGGAACTCGCCAAACTAGCATATTACAATGATATAGTGGTACTCACAATAATTTGTTTAATAGTGATATTCTACTTGTTTGAATTCTATTGAAGTCCTGCTTCCTAAAACTCTAATAAAGATAGAGATTCAAAGAGCTCTGCAAACACGTAGCAAGTGTATTGCTATTCATATGAGAAAGATTAGTTTTCACAGAATCTCTGATAAAAGTTTGACAGCTACATTAATAACTAGAATTAATCAAGAGAAATATATGCAATTAATATGCTACTAAATTACTTGATGTTTTACTTATACAAGAGGAATCTTACAACCAAACAAGTTTGAATATCACTGATCTGACTTTAAACTTGAGCTTAAATAAATAAGTTTGCAAATGTTACATAATATATATGATGATTTTTCAGGTTGGAGCAGTTTGCTGCCGTGTAGATACTTCAGAAAATTCTAGGCGTTTATACATAATGACATTGGGTTGTCTCTATCCCTATAGAAGATTAGGAATTGGCACTGTTATGGTGCAACATGTTTTAAATTATGTTAACAAGGATGGGAATTTTGACTCAATCTTTCTGTGAGTTCAATTTACAATCATTGTATTATGTACAGTTTGGAAAAATCATCATTTACAATTATACACAACTGTCATTCACAGACATGTTCAAATAAGCAACGAAGGCGCAATTGACTTCTATAAGAAATTTGGATTTGAAATTGTCGAAACTAAAGAGCATTATTACAAGAGAATAGAGCCAGCGGACGCACACGTATTACAAAAGACGTTACGTCCTCGAGCAAATCAAACGAATCATCAAACTGTCAACTAATAAGTAGCATTGTTTATTAGCCTATCTTTTCCACAATTTAGGATCTACATATTCCCATGTTCTGTCAATAAAATCGTTTTGTATTATAGCCATCGATATTGTAAGTTGGATTGCTCTACCTCGCCTGCATACACGTGAAATATAAACATTCAACTAAATGGAATTGCAGTTACGATAAACAAGAAACAAAAAAAAAATAAATTAATATATGAGGTTATACTATTTACTTTATATAGGTAAAATATACAAAATCGACCTAAATTTTTACATATTGTTTTTATTGTCCATCAATCTTTTCTACTAATATGTATTGAAAAATTTGTACATAGTATTTAAGCCATATTCCTCCTAAAATGGTGATATTAAAACAATTGTACATGTATTGAAAATATACATAAAATAAGAAGTATTGCACTCGATATTTGCGCGCGGTATTTCGTATATTAAAATTTCTTTGGTGTGAAATAATGTATGTATATATTACAGAGAAGTATATATAAGAATGCACGAGAAAACGTGCCAAGGAAGTCTCACGCATTGTATAATAGTGCCTCGTAAATGTGTTTATAGCGATACGTAACTTTAGCGCGCGTGTAAGAAATTAGAATATAATACTAAGTACTCTTCAAACTTGTTTTTTTTACATGTACAAGATGTTCTTACCTTCATCGCTAATATTTGCGGTCAGAAGAATATTTTAGGACACCTGCATTCTAAATAGCTTTAGACAATGTTGCGTTTTAATGCGACACATTGATGTATATGTAATAATATCGATAGTAATTGTTAAAGCCCATTTTCTAGATGATGTATGATTCGCGATGGAACTTGGAGCAGATATCTATATTAAAATCAAATATTTGACGAATTACACTCGCAGTTACCGTTCGCTATTTGGATTTAATATGTTCTTGATATTAATTTGGATAGTAACTAAGTTTTTTCTTTTACTATAACTAACTAGAATAATTTTACTAGTTTTGAATCGATCGAGAAAATGATATCAAAGTTCTCTAAATGGCACTAAAACATTGCGAGACACCAATCCCGACCTATTTTTTTTTATATGATAATAAACACTATATACATTAATCGTCTAATAAATATATGATGAAGCTTTTAAAGAGATTCTTTTAAGTAATAATGAACAAAAGAAATTTACAGAAAAGAAATTTGCTTTCGGAAGTTTTGCTCCTGGAAGCTCTGAATATGATTTTGATGAGAGTTTTAGCGCGGGAATTACGTCATTATCAAATAAATTTAATAGTAATTAGAAGTATTAAATTTTTATTTAATACCGATTAAATTAACTTTGTTGTAGTAAAAATTCGCGAATTATAGATCGTCTAAAGTGGACTTTATCTACAGTAGACAGTGATCGGCTAAAAGCTTCGACCATTATTTACGTATTCCTGAAATGTCATTAGAAATCATTGACATAAGCCGTTGAAAATAATAATAGTGCTTGTCGCATCGCGGATAAATAATTATTGCGACATTAAAGTACTTCTCCCATTTACCCTAGATCAGCATTTATATGTTAACAATAATATTACCACGTCCGCGTTGTATAGTTACAATTCCAACAACTCTTTGATTCTCGTAGCACAAAGATCGGTGGCCTCCGCCGCTTCTTTCGAAACCTATGAAAGTATAATAACGTGATACGTACATGCTTGAGTCAAACGATAGATAATGAAGCCAATTTTTACCAATAAAAGATTGAGAAATCCATGCGGCAATCCCGGCAATATATCCAATGTAACTTTGTTACCAAGCGAACGAAGTTTCCTCGCGAACATGACGCAATCATCAAGACAAGGGTCAAGTTGTAGCGACTATAAGCAAATTATTATATACAGATGTCAATGCATGCATATATATGTATATAAAGAGACAAAGACAGTCCTTGAACTCCCCATCTTAATAAGAGATAGTATGATCCATATTGCCTATTAATAAGCCTAAAAAAATAGTTCAAACAAATACCAGTAACTTTATAGGCGGCAGATGGACTAATGTATCGTCTGGCGCGAGATACGGACTCAAGAATGGATCCCTCGGTATCGTGAAGTTGAGCTCCACCAAAGGACTTTTGCCATTCTCCACATCGAGTTGCCTGGTCTCCTTACTATTCTTTCCGAAAGACCATCCGAACAGAGACCACGATTTGTCGCTTCCTGAAATATTACCATCTCTGCTGTCACTGCCATTCGCAACGGACGATGACGAAGCGAGGCCTGAGTTTCTGTACATATCTACAAATCTGCTGATATATTCCCGCGACTTTTCCTCTACTTTCGGACATTCAGTACCTATCGCATTAAAAAATTTCTCAAAATGCATAATGAGGGAACACAACTATACATATATCTGTATCTGGAAAGAAGGGCCAAAGTTACATTTATTTCTTCAACCTTCCATCACAAAAATCTTCGAATTTGTATTAAAAACCTTTCAGCTTAAACACCAACAATTTTGTTCGTTAATTGTTGGAGTACTAATGGAGTACTCAATCATTAACGATACAATCATTAATCGATACAATTAATGTAGTGATAACGTAATGAAACCTTTTTGCCAAGATACAGATATAAGTAACATAATCACGTAATAATGCACAACGTATGCTTGGCTGGTTTATATATACCATCGACTTCTGTCAGACTGACGGAATTCAATGTGGAATCGGACGGTAAGGATACCAATTTCTGGGTGCCGTTTGCACCGTCGCCATTTGGACTCAGAGCCAGCGCTATAAGGTCACTTTCGCTCACTTCCGCAAAAGATTCCGTATCCGATTTGGCACACTCTTCAACTTCTTGTTCCCTGTCCACAAAATAAATCGATTACAAATCTATGACGCATCGCGTCACGCATCCATATTAATCAGACGAACAACGTGCAATAAAATTAAGTATAATGATATCTTAATCGCGAAAGAAACACGTTAATGTACTTGTTTTATCAATTTTACATAATAAGAATGACTTATCAAACTCCGATGACAATTCGACAAGCACATTTCACAAATTCTCCGTTGAAATCTTACTTTGTGATTTTCTTGTTGTCAGTTGCAACATAAGCTTTCAAGCATCGCAACATGAATCCGAATGGCAATAACGGGTCCGTGATACAGAGCATACGAGACGGCGACGGGACGAAATCAATAAGTATCGGTGCGTATGCCATAAAGATACCGTCTGGCTTCCTTATATTTAATTGTAAGCATCTCATAGTGGCCCCAAGATTTAAGTTACCACCCGCGGAATCACCTGACGAAATATATATTAAATTGTACAATCAATTCATCGTGTAATATGACGCAATCGGTTATTAGGAAGACACACTTACCGACAAATATCACTTTCTTTGCTGTGCTTCCAAGTAGCGTGCTCGCATGCTTCAATGCCCACGCGTAAGTGTACAGAACCTCTTCAAGTGCACGAGGATAGGGAGCTTCCGGAGCTAAACTATAATCTATACTTAAAATTGGTACACCAAGCTTCACCGCCCAGCTTCGCAAATATATCTCGTGCGATCGGGACGTTTGAGCTACAAATCCACCTCCGTGACTGTGAATGATCAATCCATCACATAGGCCTAGTAATTCTCCTCCTATACCCCCAGATCCAACCTTGATAAAATATTATCAATGAAGACGTATTATTTTAAGAGCATATCTCCTTTTATCTCTCATTCGCATATACACGTACACATGTATTCTCTCTCTTTCAACTAAATGCTTAATCTATTCCACAAAGATAGACTAAACAGTAGTGTACACGACTGTATATTACGAGAACAAAAAAAGAAAAATATATAAATATTCGTACATCGTCTCATTTGATAATTACACTTCTCTTTTATAAACACAGCAAATTTTTGTTTTTTTCCAATAAATTTTTTTTATATAGAAATATTCAATTGTGTACATTATCTTTCAGAAAGATAGAATCTATTATATTCTATAATCTTATATCTGTCAAAAATATACATACATATCGAAGTTAACTGAATAACATTTTGCACATTGCAATTAATATGCTATTTACCATTCCTAAACGCCGTTTTGAACTGAGCAATCTAACATGGATCGGTTTCTTTCCTATATGACTATTTGGTATTGGAATTGAGATGGTTCCACCATCAAGAGTAGGCAAGATTAATTCTTCGGGTGGAATGGATATCACTTGATTGATAGCTAAATGCCTTTTTATGGATGGTAATCTGGGTAGTAACTCTAAAACAGACATAAACAAGACACCTTCATTACTTGAATAAAATATCTGATAAGTTGAATATCTTTGCTACAAATAATATGGATAAATATAAATCTTATGGATGTAAAGCATATTTATTTGTGAAATATTTTTATCTCTTACCAGATTCATTGAGGAACCAAAATGCTTGACAGAAAGAGATATCAGCATGCTGAGATATATTAACGATACGACGAGCCCTTGCTTCAGGATCCAATAAATACTTAACAAAATTAGTCCATCGTCCTAACAAGGTACCATTGTTATAAAAAACTTCACTATAAGAAGCCATACCAAATGTTATAGTTTTCAAAACATGTTTTAGGCTGTCACAAAACTGGAAGCAACAAGTAACAGTGAGACAAACTTTAAAAATCTAAAAAATGGGTATATCACATATTGTCAATCCAAATACCTGGAATCCTAGGCATCTGCCATAGTAACAGTACTGATTAATGTTCCCCATCTGACTGAGAAGTTCCTGAATAGTACGGTTCTCTGGTGGGAACAAAGATAACTTTCCATCGCTTATCACCTCTGTGCTCCATGAGTAAAGTGTTTTTAAATGTTGCAAACATGTATACAATGAGGCTAATAGTTGGGAGCATGCTTCTATCTCCCTGAAAATAGAGAAATTGAATTCAGCATCATCGATCAAACAGAAATATATAATTATATTATGGTTTATATATATATATATATATAATTATAACTTTCTCTCTCTTTCTCTCATCGATATAAATATATAATTGTTATGATTGACTCATAGATACAATTCATTTATGATATATCATGCATGGTTACCTCATGTGATAACTCTTTCGAGACAGTATGGAATTCTTCTGACGATATATTTCTTGGCATACCGCGTTAGAGTGCAAAATACTCTTGTCGATCAACGAGAGGAAACTCCTGTACCCGTTGCCGGGCACCTCTTCATCGTAGTCAAAGTATATAGCGAATTTGGCCACCTCCCTGTACAAGGGCCGCAGCTGATCCAGATGATCTAGGATCGCTAGAAGCGCGGCCTTGATCCTGACACCGTTCGCGTCCTGATGGGACGCAAAGTACTCCACATTGGCACAGCATATTTCCCGCAACGCACCCCACTGCAGCGGCTCGGAATCCTCGAACGGTCTGTCGAAGTCATCATTCAACGACATCTGAGCGATGCTGCGTCCACTTGGCTTACTTGTTTTGGCTCCCTGTGCTGATCTTACACTGCTTCACACGTCTAATCGGCTGAGCAAACAATGATAGCACTACATATCCTCAATGATAATCACTCGTCGCCCATCGACCAAGGTGTCGACCATTCGTGTACATGTTCCGTGGGGACAGAATAGGTTAAAGTTTCACTTGTTATGAACGTGAACAGATAAACGTTTTGCTAAACAGTATCTATTAAGTTATTTGCGCGTTATCACGAGCTATTATCAACGTAGTCAAACTGTGTGTCGGTTAATTGAAAACGGCTGATTAGTATAATACAACCTAATATGACAGTCCAAGCAGGCTGCTAGACGCTGACTGAATTACATTACACTTTGACACGCTGACCGATGTCTCAGCTGAGTTTTGATAACACGAGATGATAATGACGTGCAGCTATGACGAACAATGATTCAACACCTTATTCGCGATGTAAACAGTTGCCTCCCGTGCAATCTAACGTTGGCCATTCGATCGACTGTCAATGCCGGATGACGGAGCGCGCCGTCGTGACTCGATATCGCATTCGATTTGAGTTCGCGAAACGGGTGTGCCTCAATTTAGGTCAGTTATCGTTATTTTATCATGCGCTCTTTTGTTCTGAAGAAATTCAGACGAATAATAATAGCTCCATTTTCTTTGTACAAGTCGTAATGAGTGAGGAAATATACACGTGCGTGACAGAAAGAAAGAAAGAGAGAGAGAGGGAAAAGGAGAGAAGGAAAGAGGAAGCGGAAAAACACCGGAGATTAACATACTAATAATACTTAACGACGTATGTACTTTTTGCTATAGTATTTAAAGGTCTTTGTAAAAATTTATTCCAGTTAATAAGTGATGACTGTGCTTAGCAATCACGAAGTTATCACAAAAAGTGCTTAATATTGAATAATAATAAGCGTGTAATAAATTGATTCATATTAAAATTCATGAATTCTCATAAGAAAATTTTTTTATGGAACGTCTTTGCAAATCATGATATAATGCAACTCATGCAGTACAAATGTTTAAGACATCTTGAAGACTGAAGAATATCCTACTTGTTCTGAATGTCTTCAGGATATCTATGAAACGTATTTTAGATATTTGTGCTAAAAGTAATAGTTGATGGTCGTTTAAGTTTATTTAATAAAATGTGTAATAAATACGATATATCAAGATGACGTAAGTAGCAAATCGAGTTTAGTGAATTAAGTTTAACCAAGATTTGAAAAAAGAAATGCATACCAAGTAGATTCGCTCAAACACACTAATTATTTAAATTCATATCTTTTGCTTTTTACAAAAAGAACTTTCTTAGAACATAAACTGATTCAAAGAAATTGATGACACGATCTCGTTTAAAACTTATTTAACGAAATATTTTATCTACACGAGATAAGCTTTATTTGACATTTGATCTCACATACGTGTGCTTGCGTTGCTTAAATTTAAGTTTTAAAGCGTCTGAACCCTCGCTGCAATCATTTTAATTTGTAACATTAGAGGCAAGGAAATACAAAAATTTATCTTTTCATTTTGACGTTCAATTTATAGAAATTTTGGACATGTATTTCTTTGCTTTTGACATCATCAATGAATAGTCCCGCGGCGAGGGGCCAGGAGCCTTAAATTACGAGTTCATAAATTGAAAATTTCGATTGTTGTATTTGTGGAATTTCAAACCTCGATGTAAAGTTCGAGATTCTTAGTCGGATTACGCTCGTAATAAAACGGCCGGTATGTTTCTTTATAATTTATTTATTGATAAGTAAAATTACATATATCCACAAACACAATACGTTCTTTCACGGGGTGTAATAATGCGTTAAAACTTGTGAGCGGCGAGGAGAGACACCTGTGAAGGAGAAAGAGGGACGAGGGGACAAAATTGGTTTTCGGCCTTTCGACATTGTCTTTGCTTCTTCGTGAACAACGGCGATTTTCGTTTCCTCATGCAATTACAATTGTCGATCGTAAGAAAAGGAAAAAATAATATTAAAGATAATACTTCCTCAAAGCAAGCATTTTATCAATTCAATCTTATCAACTCGTCTCGCTTTCGCGCCGAGTCTTTTGCGATTTCTAAAAAGCGTCTCGAAAGACGCGTGCAAAAAAAATTACACGCGTCTACATGTACAAAATACACAACATATACATATACATACATACACATACACATATATATATATATATATATGTATGTATGTATGTATGTATGTATGTATGTATGTATATATGAGAGTATATAAATATTTATTACATATATATATATAATGTATTAATTATATTTCATGCATTTCTGAAAGATGCGAAAAAAGGAACAAGATGTTCCTTTTCCTCAGTATCAATTTATAGCATAAATCTCTCAATAACGAGTTTCTTCAACCGCTTCTGCGGGATGATACGTTCTCTGAGCTATCACAATTAGTAGCTGAAATCATGAGTTATTTTTCTCTTTCTTTCTTTCTCTCGTACCGCCACGATTCGCCGTTGTTCACGGTGAGACAACACAAAAATCTTCCGTACGCGGTGATAAAAACTCCAGATATTTCGGAGTTTTGAAATTCGCTGTGATAAAAACGTATCGGGAGCCGCGATAATTAGTTGCCCCCGCGTCAACGCATACGTCGTTTCTTCTCTCGCTTTGTGCACAAATAATCGTGCGACGACGCCGTAAAGAGCTTTATACGCACGAGGATAATTGCGAATATCACAATTATATTAAGTTTCAACGAGTTTGTCAACTTAATTAGTGAAAACGGACGCGTGCGCGGCCACAGAGCCAAAAGAGCAGAGCTGTTATCGCGCGGAGAGTTCAGTGTCGTTGTTGTGAAAAAAAAAGACGTATCTAAGAGGAACAAAATCGAAAATAGCATTGTGCGAGGGCAACGTAATCGCGGGGACCGCAACGGTCGTCGCAAGACGAGAGGATGATACACACGAGGAGGAGACACCGAAAGAACTGTAAAAATAAAGTCTAGTTTTAGTCATTATTATACTCTTTCTCCATCTTTGGACTTGCTAATCTGGACTTCGACTTCAAGGACGTATATTTTTTCTTTTTTTTCTGCTTCTTCTCCTTCTTCTTCATCCCCTTTTTTTCCTCATGTCTCACATGGCTTTTAAGCTAAGTCAGTTACCTCGATATAATATTTATATATATATATATATACTTATTACCTCTTTACAAAAATCAATTTTTAAACTTATATACGGAGATGGCCCGATGCAAATTCACAGTATCTTGAAGCGCACACGCTACGATTTCTTCCCTTTTCTCTTTCCGTTTACTCTCTTTCCCGCCGCAACGTAATCACCGAAACATGATATGCTCCGACTGGCTAATACTGATACCATACCAATGCCCGCCATGAAAATCATCGCGAAAACATTGGACCATTGTTGCAGTCGCGCGTTTCTGTCTCTTGGTCAGTGAGCCGATTTTTTACTTATATATATGATACTCTCTCTCTCTCTCTCCAAGTGTCTCGAATGGTTTGCTGCTCTGCACTTAATCGCATGAAATTTAGCAGACGGTACACATGCGATCGAAATCATCCATTGTCGTTTTAACACAGGCTACTCAGATCGCACAATACTATGTTTCCTAGACTAGAAGAGCCGCCTCCCAGCCTCGCCAGCCAAGGCGCGCGATCGCTTAGAAAAATAATAAGTCCCTCTCTACTACGACCGTAAGATCTTCAGCATCTGTGAATCCGTATCAAGGTCAAGGTTCATATGAGATGTTGTCGGTGTTGTTTTTAACGACTATGCGCTATAGGTACATAATATTTAGTTAATTTAATATGTATACATGTATATATGCATGTGTATATATATATATTTGTATATATATATATTTATCTATATATTATCCACATACGACACACACACACACACATATACATATATAACAGATATTTATACCATTATTATTAACGCATTGATGCTATCTGTTGTATTCATAGTCATAGTACATTCAATGGTATATAATTGCTATCGCGTCTTAATATATCTAAAATAATATTTTTTAACATTCAGCGATGTGTATGTGTGTGTGTGTGTATTGTGTTGTCGTGTTTCTATTGTGTGTTCTGTTGTTGCATTGCTGTCATGTGCAACACACTCTTTTCACCGGAGTTGCGTGAGACAAATGATTCGCGTTGTGTGATTCGCTAGATAGAAAGGCAGCTGCTCCACGTGCGCTTAGGAATAATATCTAAAGATTTCTCACTGGCTGCGTTCAGCGGAACAAAGCGATCGACAAGCTGCCAGTGATTATTGATCTTTACCGTCAGATCTCTAAATCCAGACCAATTACGTTAATGAATTACTCAACCGCTGTGTTCGCTGAACGCGCTCTCACTTTCTACCCCTCTTTTCTTTCTCCCTTTACCATTCTCCTCTTAATCGCGCCAGTTTACGGGCGATTGTGTCACGCGATGCGATAGTAAGTAGTAATAGTAGTAGTAATAGTAGTAGTAGTATAATAATAATAAAGTAGCGAATACTTCACGTAGCAAAGTGGACGCAATAGAAGAAGGGGGTGGGAGACCTTAGAATGTAACCGGGAATGTAATCATGCATGGACCGTGCGGGACATTGTACACATACGAGACAGAACAGCGACTGCGTTTTGCTCCTCAATTTTTCCTTCTCTTCTTATAATCGCTACCTACACAATACGCAGTGTGATAGTCGCGCGTCGAGCCGAATCCGTTTTTTTTTTCACACGTATTATTCGCTATACACGTATAATATTGAATGCGCCCGGTGAATGGCTGATCGGCCGATGTAGACATCGAGCGCGCGAAAGTGCGCACGTGCGGTGCATTGTTTTAGCGCACTACGAGGATGCTCGATTAATGCCGTCCGTTACCTTCCTGCCCCGTCGAATATCAATACTCGCTCGCGTAACGGTGAATCGAGAGTCCCGAAGAACATCGTCGTAAACGACAACTCGATAAACGGACGCTCCAATCTCGTAGAGGTCCGAGAGCTTCTTGATCTCGTGGAGGATTACCGGTGATCTCTTCTTCTTCACGGCACTGTGCAACATGCGTATCGTATGACACTATCCGGCGCTACGTCGAATGCACCGCAACGCACGGACGTCGCGCGCGCTCGTTAGTAGTCCGACGAAACCGTGTAAAGTGTGTCTTCGAGGTGAACGTAAAGAAAAACTGTGCTTCCCCACGCGACTCTGGCGCTAAAGTGCGGGTTACTACCTTTTTTTCTTCTTTTTTTTTGTTCGACCATATACAAATATATATAAGCATTAAACGTGTAATATATTATGTCATCGTCGTCTCTTCGTCGTCGTATATAATTAATAATATCCTAAGATAGTTATTGTATGAACGATTCTTTCCTTGCTTTCTTTCCTTTTTTTTTCGGTTTTTCTTCTTTTCTATCTTTTCTTCGAGAACGCAAAACAGAAACGCGAAAGAGAAACGCTTGTCTCAAGCAGCCGCCGCCGCCGCCGCGTCTTTCCTCTTCTCCTTTGTTTCTTTTTTAACGACCCAAAAGTCGGAGGTACTAATGCCATTCAAGTACGTGCTCCGGTGAACTGTTCCTCTTGTTCGACAGTGTCGGCGTGACCTCTCCGATGCGCCGGGTCGCGTTCACGTTTACGGTGCGACATGCGACGGGCGTCGCCTCCTCGGCGAGGTCGAACGAAACTGCCGAACATTCTCCGTGCTAGCGTTCTGTCAGCACCTCGACAAAAACGGTAGACTTTCGCGTGGAATGATACAGAATATTTTCAACTTGCTTCCTTTATCATCATCATCACTACCACCATTATCATCATCATCATCCTAATTGTCGTCCTCGTCATCGTCGTCGTCGTTAATTTTGAAATACGTCAATGATTCTTATAATTCCCTTACGTCTAGTTCTCTTTATCAACTAGGAGTAGACGTGTTTACGACATGTTTTTTAAGTACTGAAAAAGGTCACCGAGTAAACCAGGCAGTGGGAATCGAACGGAGAGACGAAAGGAGGGAGCGAGGGAGGGAGGGAGGGAGGGGAATGGGGGCGGGAAAAAAACCCAGCTGCATCACAAAAGGTGAAACGTGCAACGATGACACGCGTATGACAGTGTGTTCTGATATTTTAAGAGTGCCCCGCGTATATAGCTCGCTTACTCACTCGGCTCGATTAATTAGCATAACGTTACAACGATTATGCGCGATATTACAATCGGATTATTTTACGTCTACCTCAGTGACAAGCTACTATAATCGCTATTGCGTTTCCTCCTTTTCTTCTCCCCTTCTCTTTTCTTCTTCTCCTCCTTTCGCGAAGTACTTAATTAAGCTGCATTACGAATTGCTTTATTGCCATTGATTATCTCCGAAAATATCAGAACCTAAAAATACAGCAAAGAGCGCAGAGGGATGACGCGTTTGCCGCGGACGCGTATCGTTCGCGATCGCCCGCGGCGGCATGTAAACGCGTGTTTTCCACCCGCGGCTCGAGCGGAGAGAGAGGTCGTTCCCGCGAAGAGCGGCCGAGGTCTCACGACGAGCTACCGATCACGCTCCGCGGAGCTTTCGCGACTCGAGCGCGCGACGTCAGAGGCGAAGGAACATCGAAGTAAGTCTAAAAGACGACGTGTGTTTCTACTTTTACAACGAGGCGCGCTCCTTCCTGCGTTTTTACCGGACACGTATATGACGATAACGCAATTGAGAAACGATGTATGTGTTTTGAGTGAGATACTTCCGAAGATAGCTTCTAACATCTGGCGTGTTCTCTCGTATGGCACATCACGTGGATACGCGGAATTTTCAACGATCGTTTTCGCGTGCGTGTGTCCCCGTTACGAACATTATTTTACACGTATATTGTCGAGCCCTCGGAAATCGATCTTGCACCGCGACAATCGCGTGTAGGAGAGAGAGAGGGAGCGTGTCACGATTGCGGGTGTCGCGAGCACGATCTGCCGATTGAGGAACGCGTGTTCCCGCGCAATTCGCGAGAGAGCGCATTCGGAATGCGCAGGTCCCACGTCTGTGGATGTCTTCGGAAGAATCTCGGGGGAGTTAGAGATATATGCATATACATATATGTATGTATATGTGTGTATATATATATATATATATATATATATATATATATATATATATATATATACACACATACATACGTTATTTATATCTTACTCTAACAAAATATTATGAGATTCTCGAAGAAGATACGCGAGAACGAACGGCTTTGCGACCAGCTTGAAATCAAAACTGCGAGTGCCGAGGCGGCCGAATTATTCCTTCACCTCGAAGTATTTGTATGTAGGATTCTCATACCCATTGATCTGCATATTCGCGACGTGCCGCTCCTCAGGCGTGGCCGCCTGATCGACCTCGATGAAACCCTGCGTAAATAGAATATGACATTAGTCATATCGATCAAAGAGCGGCTATTACGACAACGTTATTATTAGGTTGTTGCGTAATTCCTACCGTATTTCGTGCGCTTATCTTCGACGCGCGATAAATTATTATTGCATTCAATTTGTGCTGTTAGTTTGATTGGATATTACCTTCACGAGTTGTAGACAATAATATGTTGCTAATTTTAAATATAAATTCTTCTTAAAAATTATATCAATTTTAATTTTATTCAAATATTCTATAGGACAGAGATTACGCAGCAACCTGATAATCACCGTGAACAGACGGTAAAAACCGGCGTCGTGATTATTCTAAGTGACAACCTAACCGACGTACCTGGCTGTGAGGGCTCCTCGCGTTGCGTCTCTTGAATACCGCGACGCCCACGACCGCTGTTGCCATGAGTACTATGCCGCCGAACGCGAGCGTGAAGTAGACGGATCGACTTTCTCTGTGATACACTTCCCGCCTCACGGAATAACCCTGAAAGCGAGAACGGTGTAATCATATTGTTAACTGTCATTCATCGTTGGCTAACGATGAATAAGCGATCATTACAGGCTCGGAATGAGAGACATCGTGTGTCATGCTGTGCGCTGCTCTGACTACTCCCTCATTATGCATAGCAGCGACCGCGGCAGGCTGCTCCGATTGCTGAGGGATATCCTTGGTGTCGATGGCTGAGTCGTTCTCCTCGTGCTGCTCCTGTTCCGTGCGCAGCTCGCCGCGTTCCGCCTTACGTTGCTCCTTGCGCGCTCGCTCGAGTTGTTTCTGATGTTCCTTCTCTGTAGTAAGGTAATCTACTTAGGTGTTTCTCGCGGTTTCAGACTACTGAATGCATTCATCGCCTTCTTTTACACATAGACGACATTGCGCGTCTCGTCTATCGAATTATAAATACCTTGCTGCTTGCTGGCGACATCGGCCTGATACTTGTCGAGAATAGCCGCCTCCGCTTCGCGCGTCATCGCTAGCAGCAATCCCGGAGTTTCATCCTTACTCCTGAGGGCCAAAACGTAATCGTCCATGAGACGGCCAATCTTTGCGCTTAGGTCTGGATATCTGAGCACAGGAGAAAACGGTGAGTCTGTCTCTCTCTAGTTGGCGCGGACGCCGCGGCGTATGTTCTCGCGAACGGCGTTTCTCAAGACGAAACGTCGTGTCTTCGCGCGTGTTCAAGATATTCGAAGAAAACTCTAAGCGCGTCTATAAGGTATACGTTACCGTTCCAACATCAGCAGGCTCTGATTGGTAATCCTATCGATCTCCGCCAGGTGCTCCAAAGTGGCCGATTTCTCTCGCTGAGCCTGCTCCAAACTGCTGTCGAGCAGATGCTTGTAATGAGCGATCGTGTGGTGCCTGTCTTTGTGGAGGGCCCTCAGCAACTTTTGCAAGCACTTCTGAATGCGATGCATCTGCAAAACATAAATAGAGCGGTCATTAGACAGCGAGGTGGCGAGTGTTCCTGCTGCGCAAGCAGCTCACGGAACTCACATTCGGCGGCGTCTCGTTGAGGGCTGCGGTGTAGCATGACATAGCCTCCTCGTTCCTCTGCTTGACGGCTTCCTACGGTCAGACGATTACGATAATTAAACACGGTTTTGCAAAACACTCGGCTCGTATCATTTCCGCTGCAGTACCTGCACTCTCTGCTGATGCATTGCGCTCAACTGATGTTTCTCCGCCGCCCCGCTCTCCTCGAGCGCGGCCACAGTCTCCTGGAATCGCGCCGTCATCCAGCGTTTGAAAGCGTCCGCGGCGACGGGATCGTGGGCCCTGATGTCCTGATATCTCTCTTCGAGATCACTCCAATCCTTCATCACCTGAAAGCGTTGTAGCACAAAGATTTCGACACCAATGTCCCGCGCCATCCGATATCCGTCTCTCAAAGTATTTCTCACTGTATATCTCTTTCCCGCGACTCTTTTGTACTCGAATAAAAATATCTCGATCCGATAATCGAGAACTTCACGTTTGGCGTTCTCGCGCTCTTCCTGCTTCTATGCGCAGCCAAGGATATTCGTATAACGCGTTAAATCTCGCTTCTCTTCCTCTCGCTGCGATTGATTGAACTTACTTTCGTCACTTTCTCCTTGTGCACCTCCTCGAGTCGCATCTGAGCCTGCTTGTAACTCTGATGCTCGGATCGTGGGTCGAAGTGCGTCAGATAAGGATCGGGAGTGCCCTGCGGTTGAGAAGGCTGCTGTGTGCTCGTGCTAACCGGTAACGGCATCGCCGTCGCATCCTGCTTGACTTTCTCCGTCGTGGAAACCGTCGTCGATGGTCGACTGATTTAAGTAAATTATTAAGGGAACTTTAATTATTCACATACCTTCAATTATTACATAATATCAATGAAATGTATTAATTAACTATGCCAATTTTAATTATTATATAATATTAACGAGAAACCATATACGTATATTGAATTATTACATAATATCAATAAATTATATTAATTAATTCTGCCAATTTTAACGATCATAATAATACAATATTAACGAAACAATATATATATATATATATATATATTTTTTTTTAGAATATTTTTTCTTAGAGCTTTGAAAAGACGTCTCAGTTGTTGATATCTCTGCGCCGGGATAATTACCTGGTAGTTGTGTCATAATCATCGAGATCATCGTATTCCTCCTCGTTCTCGTCGTCGTCGGGCTGATCGCTAAGCACATCCTCGAGATCACCGTCGGAATTGTCCTCATCCTCGGCGTCGCCGTCCAAGTCATCTTCATCGTCGAGATCATCTTCGTCTTCATCGAGATCGTCGTCCACACTCTTTGGGATGGGTAAGTCGATTGGTTTCTTGACTTTCACATTCTCTGCAAAAGACAGACATACGGCACGTCATCTTTCCAGGTACACACATTGGTGATCGAGTAACAATCTATCGATATAGCGCGAATATAAAGCTGTCATATTGGTGCAACAATTCGACTCCGAAAGTTCATTCTTGTCCGCCTCCGTCGCGTTCAATGCGAGACCTGCATGAAGAAGTAGCGGAAGTCGTATCATTGGCGACAAGTGACGCCGCGTCGTCGATTACTATATGGAAATGATCTTTTGACCTTTTTTCTCTTTTGCGCGTTGTTCAGTAAAGCGATAACGATTCGATATAAAAAAAAATATATATATAATATATATAATATATTATATATATATGCACACACACGCATATATATAAACACACATATACACGCACCCACGCACATGCATGCACGCCACATGCATATGTACAGACATGTGCAATAATTGGAATTCCTGTCTGCGCGCACATTCCGGTATATCGGCTGCCATTGTTTGAATAGTAAGCGGACGGGATTGGGCTGGCCGCAGATAGCTCCGCGGAATTCTGGCCCATAATCTATATCAATGCGTTCTAGTGATACACTGCCGTGCCACCGGACACGTTTGGTTATTTATTGATATAGTTAGGAAGAACGCGCGCCGCGACACAATAGCACGCGAAAGCACAAGTGCATCGTAATTTAACAATTTTACGGATTATGTAACTCACGATGTGTGTATGTGTGTGTGTGTGTGTGTGTGTGCGAATTCTTCTCCACGTGGAGAAGCAGAATACAGGACATAGACAGTGAGAAATTGTTTCTACGAACGGACCGCTCGCTCCGTGTGAAACAAAAATCAATTGGAAGATCGACGGGAATTTACTCCGTGAATTATGAGAAATCGAAGACCAGGTGCTCGATTGCACGGATTGAATTTTTCTCTCTCTCTCTCTCTTACTTCTCGAGGGATACATTGCGATATGTCCAGCCGGCTGGCGCGAGAATAATCAGAGGAGATTGCCGTCGACGAAATAGCGAGGAATTTGAATGCATTTCAGTTGCGTGAAACGCATCTCGTTCCTGCGAGCTCGCAGCGCACGGTATAGCCTCTTCTAACCTGCAGTTTAGAAATACTAATTTCGCCAGGTTACCACGACGAGAAACGGGCTGGAGCGCGGCGGCAACTTGGTTCTAACTAGGTTCTCGAGATGTCTCACTCTCCGAGAATAGATGCTCTGATGAGACGACTTCTCGACTTCTGCAAAGGCAGACACAAAAGCCACTCCTGACCGTATCCTCTGTGTCGTCCTTTTATCTGGGTCATATGGTAGATATGCGGTAACTGCACGCGTTGGCAGTTTCATCGGGGAATGCCTTATGTCACGATTGTTCGTTATACTGCGTTGCGGATTCCTCGAGAAGACAGTTTATCCGAAATCAATCGACGATGTCAAACATAAGAGTGAGAGAGAGAGAGAGAGAAGAGAGAGAGAGGAAAGGAGAGGAGGAAGCAAGGGAGACAGAGAAGTGACGCGAGGCTGATGGAAATTCAGTGTCATCAATGTCAACAACGAAGGCCGCAGAATCGGCCTTCCCGCTCCCGCCCACGCCACTCCGTACTGCGCATTTGTGAAAGAGTTCGTTTCAACGCGCAACCCGTTTCTCATCCCCGTGAACGACACGTCATCCCCGTGGTTATCTTGTGGCGTGCTAAAAATAATGGGGCGGCATAGGATTCGCGGCGACGCGCATAGAAACGCGAGCGAAACCCGTGTTTCGTGTTAATCGAGCCTGTCGTACGTGTGTAGGAGAAAGAAAAGTTGCGCAGCGACGCCGGAAGCTACGGCGGCACGTTGCGCAGTCGTCGAGAACGTCGGCGGACATTATTGATTGCACGAGGGAGAGAGAAGACAAGAGAGCGAAGGGGTGAGAGGAAGGAGAGAGAGAGAGAGAGGGAAGGGAGGGAGTTTGCGGAGGGTGGCACGAGCCCGGGGTGCTGTGAAGGAGACGAAGGAGGCGGCAAGGCGAAGTAGGTGGCACCCCACGCTTAATACACCCTCTCTGTGCACCCTTCTATAGCCGTTCTCTTTGTTCCTTGCGACAGTCGATTGAAAGCGGGTAGCGTAAATGCCGAGTATTTCTATAGGAGCTTCTCTCGTCGTGCAATAAATTCGTCGCGAATTTGCGTAAATATTCATGCTTCCCCGTGCCGTTCCTCTCGTCGATATCGGGCTTTGCCCGATAGACACGCGTTCCTATTAATAATTCCGCTGTATGCTGAAAAGAGGAGAAAACGAAATGAAACGAAGTGGAGAGCGACGAAATAATGATTCGGTTTACGACATGCTGACATATTTCGGTATCGCGCACTGACAAAAACTGAATATTCGCAGGGCGCATCAAAGCTCAGGGTACAAGGCTTATATGGTACTTATCAAAGTAAATGACAGAGCTTTAGTGAACACAGGCGCGAAAGCTCCGGTGGATTCTGCGTGATATAAATTTAACATCGAACACATCGTGGCACTTAAGACCGTGTTTAACATCGTTCCAACGTGGTTTCTCTTTATGATATCAAGGCAGAGAAAGAGAGACAGAGAGAGAGAAAGAGAGAAAGAGAGAGAGAGAGAGAGAGAGAGAGAGAGAGAGAGAGAGAGAGAGAGAGAGAGAGAATGCAGCATTATGACGGTCTCTTGTCTGAAAGAATAAAAGTACAAAGTCAAGACCAAGTACACAAACGTGTGTCTCGCTTCGCTCGAAAGCGAGATCGTCGCGAGCTCTTTTTTACGGTAAATTGACCATGCTGAGAAAGCGAGCATTCCGGAAACGCAAGTTCGCGTTCTTGGCAACGGACACCGTCGCGATGTGAGATACGGACGCAGCGAAACTGCGTTCCGCACGATGGAAATAGGCGTGCAAAGATGAACGAGCGTTCCTGCAATTTTGTTCAGGAAGCGGAAGATGACTGAGTTATGCAGTGACGATCACTGCATAAACTCGATCACTCGCGTTTCCTATAATAACATGATCATTGATAATAGTAGAAAAAATCTCGCAAATTTGAAAATTCGTACTTAATAATAATAAATTACACTGAGAAAGAAATATCTAAAAAAAAGAGATAAATATTTATTTGTTAGATACACACCAAAAACGCTCAAATCTAAATTTTTTTATTTAAGTAAACAATTGTTCTCACGAAAAGCTGAAATTTTTTAAAAAAATGTCAGGAAAATGTATATTTTATTTGAACAACATTTTATATTAACACAAAAATATGTTATTAGTATTCACCGAATATATGTTTATTATTTCTCAGATATTTTCTTTCTTAGTGTAGTAAAAAGACGAGCACAATTTTCGATTGTTCGATCCTTTGACAACAACAGCCTTTCACGTCTGTTTATCTTGAGAATCGCGGCTGCTTTTCGCGCGAATTAAGTTACGAATGAATGAATGAATGAATGAGTGAGTGAACAAACGAACGAAGGAACGAACGAACGAATGAATGAATGAATGAATGAATGAATGTGAGAGCTGAGCGTACGTACGTTACGTACCTTTCAGGTGTTTCGGGCAGCATACAAACTCGACACCAGAGAAGAGGGATATACCGCACGGCAACAACATCGCAAAGCTACGCAGGTTCATACTTCGCTCCCTGCAGGTCTCCGCAGCCGTGGCGTTCCATCTGAAACGTAAATTCGCACGATCATCGCGTCTGAGATTCCTAAGTACGGTGTGCGACGCACACACCTGATCTTCTTGCTAAACGTCGTGATAAACGAACGTCGCGATCATATTCGATACGAAGCGCATGCATGCATTCATATAAGGGCTCGAACAGACAAGCCACTTTGTGGTGCTACAGAGAAGCACCACGGATCCGTACAAACGAGAGCTACTTTTGCGGTGTCACGGAGAGCGCAACTTTGTGACGCCACAGAGAAGAAGGACTTTGTAGCACCACAGAAGAGCGCTTCAGAGTGATATATATATATATATATATATATATATATATATATATATATATATATATGTATAAATGCTCAAACTCCAAGAACCTAGCAGTTCAGTGCAATACAGGATATTCTTGTATCTTTGTGTTCGTTCAGTTTTGTGATAGGTTCATGCTTTTACCTACATGTTACTCTGAAGCGTCGTTCTCTCTGTGGCACCACAAAAGTAATTTGTCTGTACAGGTGTGGCGCTTCTCCGTGGCACAAGCGGCTTCACAAAGTGACTCGTCTGTTCGAGCTCTAAGTGACAGCGCGACAAAGCTGTACATCGTATAGGATCTCACGTGAATATGACGATTGATCATAAAACCGATAACGCGACTATTGGATAATAATTAGTTCGGATTATGCGCGCGCACGCGTGCGTTACTCTCCATATAAACGCGAAAGCCTGTACTGTAATACTTGCGGATTGCGAGCGATCGCTTTGATGCGCTTGGAGCGCGATATCGTAAATCTGAACTCGCTTGGAAATTAATATCGTCTGATAGATCCGCGTATATATACGCTCGTTACCTGTGAGATTCCCAGCATTTTGTTTGATTATGCAGATGATCAAAGAGGCAGCCCTCTGGCACGAGAAGTGCGTCGCTCTGAAAGGGTCCCTCTGAAAATTGCAAACGGTATATATTGCAACGGTTTGAACTCAAGGGGAGGTCCGATGAGACCGATAAAGGTTGCTGCACGCGCATCGACGGTACTTATTCTTGTTCGTCATTATTTCTGCGAACGCAATAAAGCGCATTATGAGCGTGCTAAATCTCTGATTTGCGAACATTTCAACGCGAAAAGCACGGAACATTATAAACGCGCGACAAGTAAATAATAACATCTCTCGGTTGTGAAATTCTCTAAATATACTGTCGTCGCTAACTTTATAGACGTAATAGAAGGGTGCAATTAGGAGAAGCAGAAGAGGAGGACGAGGGGGAAAGAAAAAGACAGAAAGAGGAAAAGAGGAGAGAGAGAGAGACAGAGAGAAGAAGGGGATGGAGAGCAGACAGCGAAATGGAAACGCGTTTAACGGATGACGCATCGGTAGGTTCGCCAGTGCTAATCAATAGAGCTAGTCACGCAGACCTTTTGAGGGTATTAACCACTTGCCCGATTGGTCTGAGTACACTCATGTGTCTCATTCCTACCGAAAGATAAAAATATGGTGAGAAGTACACAAATGCGATTATGCGTATTCTTGAGAAGTCAAGAAGTCTCTCATTGTAATTCGACCTACGTTAATTCGTACTTTTGGATAAGAAATCAAACTATCTTGCTTTTCCTATGATATAACTTGATTGTTTATGTTGATAGTATAACAAAAAGAAATAACATAAAAGAATGCCTGAAAATAGTTTGCAAGTTTGTACTTGATAATAACTTCTGTCTACTTAATATCTTGTATGTCTACATCTTCTCTTTCTATTATCAGTTCTCAGTTCTCATTTCTCAGTTCTACTTAATAATATAAAGAAAATAAAAGATGCCTGAAGTAGTTTGTAAGTTTGTGTCTTCTATCTATATACTTAATAATCTTCTATCACTTTTACTTAATAATATAAGAATATAACATAAAAATAGTTTGCAAGTTTGCAATTGATAATACCTTCTGTCTATATATTTAATAATATCTCTCTTCTATCAATTCTACTTAACAAGAAAATAACATGAAAAATGCCTGAGGTTTGCAAGTTTCTACTTAATAACTATCTTCTATCTATTTAATTAATATCTTCTATTAATTCTAATACAATAATGTAAAAAAATATAAAAAATGAAGTGAAAGTAGCTTGCAAGTTTCTGCTCAATAATAATAAATTAGCAAGAATAAGACTGGAATTCTTTGCGCGCGACTGAGAAGGTTTTGGCACACGTGTCATAAAGCAAGAAAAATAAAGACGCGGACATGTGATACCGCGTAAAAAATTAATTAAATTAAATTAAAGGAACGCATTGCTGACAGTTTTTCCGCTGGAATGCTCGTCGAAGAAGTGATTAATGGAGCCTTGTAAGGCACAGGACACGCAACAGAAGATGCGGATATAAAATGGACGACCGTGACTATCTGCACGCGATCAACGTACCGGAATAATAGCGTTTAACACAATTAGAAAACGGGGGGGTTCAAAGTTTTTGAACGGAACGTACAAACGAGAAGTAGTTCGGAGTTTCCAGACACACGTTATACTCGTTTCGCGGCCTTTCTGTCCGAATTTAATATGTTCCCGGGAACGATTCGTCGCGACGAAAATTCGGACAGCGAAGGAAATTCGATTTCGACATTTCGACGTCCGACATTCGTGAAAACTGCAAAAAGAAGAGAGGAAAGTTCGATCTTGAACTCCACGTTCGCGATATATTCGACGCTGCACGTCCTTCAGGATGCAATCAAAAGGCTGATTAAGGAAGAGGCAGTCGAGTCCGAGCGATTCGACGGACATCGCGTTGTTCGTGGCACAGCGTATTGACTCTACAAATTGAATTCTTTCGTTCGTGGGAGATCGGAAGCGCGCGTCTCGCTAAATTTACAACTAAATCTCCGTCGCCGGAGAGATCGATCTCACCGTCGCTTCTCGCAAGCCGCCGCCTTATCGATGTGCTTGCGACCGATTGATCGTCTCACCCGCGGAGACGGCTCTCGCGGACCGATATACACTTCCATGCAATTATCCAGCAGCGCACCGAGAGGGTTATCGCGCAAGTTATTCGCGGGAACTTTTACAACTGTTAATTCGATATCAACTTGCGATATGCCAATGAGTCTACCGTCTGACGACGGTGCTAATACGATCAATATCAGAATCTGCATCGGAGAGACGCAAAGACGCTTGAATCGACTACTGACGTCTATGCGTTACTTTACTAGCTCTCGAGGTCGTTTTCTAACGATGTTTGAAATTTCGCGTATTCTACGGCATTCTTGTGTGTATATCGGCATCACATGGGATTTGTAAACGCGCAAAAACAACAGCTGCTCTCTAAATTTCTTGCAGTGAAGTTTCACTCGAAAAGTAAAGTAACCACCAGGTCATTCAAATTTGAATAATTGTTCACTCGTATATACTGAGAAAAAATGCTGGAAAGTTTATTTGCGGGATGTAAAGTTTATTTTTGCGAATAAACTTTGCATCCTACGAATTAATTTCCAAGTATTCTTTTCTCGGCACATACACGAAGAAAATATATAGTAAAAATGACATTGATATTATATTTCTTTTTACGATGTTTCTGTGAAGCTGGGTTATATTAAAACAATATAAATTATTATAGAAATAATTATAGAAATAATAAATTTGAATTCTATATCGTACATCTGATATATATATATATATATATATATATATATATAAAATGAAATATCCGATGAGAAAATCATATAAAAAACATTCCAATGATCATAATTTTAATAAAAATTTGGACATATATAATTTATATGTTATAATATAAACGTATATATAAAAATTTAAACGTTATAATATTTTTAGATAAATATGGAATAATTTTGGTCACAATTTTCTGTATTGACTAATATCACAAAGATTTTGTTGTAATTTTTAATACAGTTTTTTCTCGCTGTAAAGTGAATTCTCCACTCTGTATCATCGAATAAATATTTTCAAAATCAATGTGAGTGAATCCGATATATTCCACCGCCACAGAAACACATTTACATTAATCAATTGAAACATTTGTTCATATAGAGTCGGAATTCAACCTAAGCTTAAACGTAACTTTTATTCTCACAACTTTCAGTATTTTCACTGTCGCTTCGAGTGAAAATACTGCCAGTTGTCATTTGTTTTGAGCGAAATTCCACCCCGAGAAATTTACAGAGTAAACTCACTCGCGGCTGTAAGTGCACGCGCTGCGATTCGCAATCGATGTTAAATCAATAAGCGCGATCAATAATATCATCCTTACTCACCCAAGCATCTGTAGGGCTTGACCCAACGGGAGAGCTTGCACTTGGTCCTGCCGGGCTTGCACCATCCGCTGACTCTGACGTAGTGCGACGACTCGACGATATTAGTGATGTCTCTTTTCGGGTAAGCCTGGAAGAAAATCGCGGGCACGTATTAAAAGGGAGGCTTGTTGCAAACGCCATTACCAGGTCGATCCAGGAGCAGCCTGTAATCAAGCGGCCGTTGAATTATCGAGCGCGGACACGCACTTTGACGCGAGCTGTCATTATCGCGAACGAATGACCGCTTAATCCCCGTTTAGGACGCTGCAAAAACGCGAATGCTCGACGTGCGAGCTGGTTTCGCGCGACACGATGCTTCCTCGCGAATTGCGGCCGGCCAGGTACTCGACAGTAGTCCCCACGAGTTGTCGTAATGTCGCTCGGTTCCCACCGGATCGATAAGCAAGCAGCCATTAAGGATACATCTCTCGTCATTTCAGCAGCGAACCGAATGTTATTTACATATTAAAGCTGCCGCGTCGTTAGGCTCTCAGCGGGAGGAGCTATAAATAAATCTATAAAGTTCATTACACACAGAGAAACTCACTTGTAATGCGTTTTTCGATTCAATTTAAATTTAACTTCCTTTGATTGCGGCCGCTTGATGGAGCGTTCGCGAATGTAATCGGACCTCTCGCAGTAGCTCCTGCCCGATTTCGCCGCATGAACGAGAATTGAACAAAGGCGCTCTCGCGATGCACCCGCAATGAGAAAGGATTAGATGTCGCGCGGACACTATAGCCCTAGGCGAGCTCTCGCACGCACCGGTGGAAAGAAATGTGGGTGAAGCGCTAGGCGGCGGATAAATAATTCACACGTCGCGCGACGCGGTGACTCGTTGTCGACTCGCGCGTCCCATAAAATCACCCGCGAGGATTAATGTTATTTTCCCGGGTGGACCGACACGGGGAAACGCGGAGGCACAGACGGAGGAGGGGTTAACGAAGCGCGTAATTCGCGTGTTTTGTCGCGACTAAAGGCGCGCCGACGAAGGGATGAAAATTCGATTTACGCCGCCCGGAAGATTATAAACGACTTAATTCTGGCCGCGGGGCAGGCAACGGCAACGACGGCGACACCGGGGCACGATGTAAAATAACACGCCAGTTCTTAATTAATAATTCACTCGCGGGTTCGCGGCAGCGACGGCGTTTTCTCTCTAAATACGAGTCCGAGCGTTAAATAACGAAGTCGCGAGCAAATCCGATCCCGACCTCCCGACTTCGTTTAATAATTAGACCGCCCGCTCGAATAATTTACACGCGCGTGTTTTCGCGCAACCGGGGCGAGGCGGCGATTTTTATCGATCTACTGTCGCCGCGACACACACGCAATATATATATATATATATATATAAGCCCCGCCGCTCCTCTCGTGCTTCGTGCGAGGCGCATGCATATAAAAGCATACACACGTGGGACACGTACGCGTCCGCAAGCACAGCGCGCACTTATCCCTCTTATGCACACGGTGAATCGTCGCGACGTGTCCGCGTGAGCACACACACACACACACGCGTCTGCACATATGGACAAGACGGCGAACGCTATCACCATTACGCTAAATCCATAAGCCAGTCTCGCGCCTTTCCCTGTCTACCACCGGCCTATTCGCGAAGGATTCCGCGCGAGTGCCGATACTGCGACGATAAACGTACCCCCATTGGCACATTTTTATATTCTACCGATGTTTTCAAATTGTTTTTACTTACAAGCTATACAAGGAGATCTACAACAATATTGCCACGGAAACATCTTTGCTTTACGTATGTAAATCATCAAATGAGATTGCACAGCATTAAACGAAAATAAGTCACTTGCTTCGATATTTTTTTTATATGTAATTCAAGGAGAACATATTCTTACTACTCAAAAATAATTTTTATGAATGAAAAGCACAAGATATCAGATTGAAAATGTCTCCAAGTGTCGGGGGAAGATATATCATTGTCATGAAAAGAATCACCGTCGCACTTCTCATGAGACTATAATATTCAGATGAAATTATAACGCTGATGAAATTCAAGACTTAAAAGTTTTTCGAACGAAATTATATATCGTTGTTTATACAATATAACGTAATGTAATGTGACATAAACATAATGTAATGTAATTTTTCGAACGAAATTATCATTGCTTATGAGACAATGAGTGTTAATTTGAATACGTTAATTAGTAAGTAAACGCTAATTCTTTTCTGCATACACATCGCATGAGCAGCGCCCTCGGTCTCTTCCTTATTCGAGAGTTCCTTCGAGTATGACGAGATTAGAGATATTTTCACGCGCATATAATGACGGCGAGCAAAATATTGACACGTATCTATGCACATCACAATCCGCCATACAACGAGTCGGGAAATAAAATAAAGCAAGTCCGAGGAGTTAATACACAGCGATGGAAAACGTCGGGCATTTATTTTTAACGTCTATATATATAGACCTTCAAGTCGGTTACGTGTGCCTGGTTCGAACGTGCGCGTTCGCTTCTGCCTGCGCCGTATGTGCAGAGGTATTTAATGGATGCGTGATCTTAAACTTTTTTTCTCACTCCTCTTACCTTCTTGCAATATTCCAGGATCTCGAGCTTGTCCGTCATGCAGCTCTTCTTATCGGTCGAAGAGACCCATCGACCTTGCTCTCCCATGTGCTGCGCAAGGTACACCTCGCCAGCTTCGCACAAGGTGGCGACCTTCGTTGAGGAAAGAGATGGCGGTCATTAAAGATACACATTGACATCGGCGGCAAACACATTTGGCTCAGCACAACTTCATCAAAAGTGTTTCGCTCCTCGGGGGAAAGCCATTCGTCGTTCTTCATTTCACCGAGGAACTCTTACAATCCTGGCTTTCCTCGCGAGTAAGTATCGCAAGGACTAGCAATTTCTCCTTTTCTCATTTTTACAAACATGGCGAATTGCCTCTCGAAAAACGACGACGACGCATGCACGCGGGAAAGCGACTAGAATAAAGAGGGCGAGAACGACGGGAATCGCGAAACGATGAATTCTCGCGAGAGAAAGTGGGAGAGGTATAATTCCGCGTTGGGAGTTGTCCTTTGAAGCGGACACAAGGCTACCGAAGTCTCACCACGGTACTCACCTGCGGCTCTGATCTTCCACCAGCCGGCGCCAATTCGAGCCTCTCCGACACCGCCTGCAACACAAAGTGAAAGAAAACATTTGAATGTGCGACTGTATGGCGTATAGACGGCGGTGGAGGGAGAGAGGGAGAGAGGACGAGCACTTAAAACGCTTTCCGTTCCAATAAACGTGTATTTGCTCGCGTGAATTCGAATCTTTGGCGTAACCCGGAACACGCGAGCGGTGTCGCTTTATTCGCTTTATGGAGCGAATGACTACTCGATGAAACGCTCTCGGCGCGTTGAAAAAAAGGGATGAATTTAGCGACTGAAACAGGTCAAACGGATACGAAGATCGACGATTAAGCGCATTATTCTTGTGACGTGACTAGAGGGCCGCGTACATCGCCAGAGAGAGAGAGAGAGAGAGAGAGAGAGAGAGAGAGAAAGAGACAGAAAGTACATATTCTCTACTCTGTCCATATTTCTCGCAAACTGCTTCGTTATATTCGAAGAGAGAAACGTAACGTAACGGGAACGCTGACTCAGTTGGAACGCGTCAACGGTATAAATCGACTCGTTTCGCGGCTCGATAACTGCAGGGTGATCCCTCCGATCCCGTCCTTCCGATCGTTCAGGCGTCAACGTTCTCGCCGAGTAAAATCCTCGTAATGAGGACATTTCACTCGACGGTGTCAAGTAAATAGAGGGCACCTTTATTAACACGGAACATGTTCCTGTGTATAAAAACGTAATGTGTATGTCCTTTACACATTCACAGATCTATATCTCCGGCTATTACGTATACCATGAGTACCTACGATTTCAACCCTTTAACGCCACTTTGGCGAGTTTAATTTTCGTCACGCTCTTCGCTCGTTTCCAACTAAACAGGGAACATTTGGAAAACCATCTGCATCACAGAAAAATACTATTCTGTTACTAAGAAAAGCGGTTATTTGGTTTACTTTTCTTCTTTTGAGTAATGATTATCTTCAACAAAGAATATTTCTTTGATAATAATATAGAACATAAATATTTTTCCTTGAGTTTAATTAAACTCGAGATAATACACAATTAAATCGAAATATTACACAATTAAAGAACCGAGGAAACTGATTTGGTAGTACCAAAGCAAACAAATTTTCGACATTCGAAATTTTATATTAATATTCTTTATCGTAGGTGAATAAAATTACTAAATGACCAGCTAGAATGAAGTTTTTTTACATACGTATAATGTTTCAGATAATAAAAGCAATTATTTTACATACGTATAATGTTTCAGATAATAAAAGCAATTATTTATAAAATAATCGAAATCGAGCATATGGACGAAGTAAAGTTGGCCTATATTTGAGAGTCGACAAGAAGGCTATAAAAAAAGATCTGTCGCGAAGACTACATAATTACTAATTAAGATACACATTTTATATATAACCTTCTTTTTTTACCCTACTACTAAGTAACTGAATTTGGTATCAGAGTAAGATGGCCACGTCCCTGAAGTAAACTTTTGAAATGCTGGAACTAAAATGGAAACAAGTAACGTTTACTTGAATGTAGTATGTATTTTTCTATGTGTGTGTGGACACACACTTTGCTCTTAGGTAGAACAAATAGACCTCACGTCGACAAACAAGTTGATCGATATTCGCGATCAGGCGAAAACGAAGATTTCCGGGACTCGCGTTCACGAGAGTTTAGTAGTGAACTATCTGGCGCGGACAGGAAGTCCGCGCGGAGAAGAGGAGCGGCGTAATTACGTCGCTCCATAATACTCGACTGACTAATTATATCACTCGATAATGTCCGATAATTGCGGACGATCCTCGGTACGTTAACGCATCGTATAGGTATAGGACGGCGGTGAGCGGTAACAGTTATCCGCTCGCACGCAGAGTATCGCGAGTGCATTAATTTCGTTGTATCGGCTGTCTTTCTGCTCGCGCAGCATCCAGAGGCGGAGAGCCTCCAGGCATCTATCTGGGAGAGCGCAGAACGTACGTGACGGCTACGAATTATGAATTACGCGACTGGGACGATACACACGATTAAAACAGAGCGAATGTGCGCGCATACTCGAGCAATCCCGCCGCACGTTATCGACTACAGGGAGAAGGGGGAGGGGAGAGAGAGAGAGAAGCATCGCCTATGCACGAACGGCGTGGACTGTTACTGTCATTACTATCATTATCACGGAGCGATACGTCCCGAAAATGCGAGCTAACGCAATTACCCGTCCACGGCGAGTCGGCGGGAAAGGGCGGCGGACGAACGGACGCGCTCGCCATTTGGCCGATAATTTCGTTTACGTTCGCAAATTGCAACTCGCGACGCCGGTCATCCAGGAGAGAGGTAGGGAGAGGGAGAGACAGAGGGGAGGGGGGAGGGGGAGAGAGAGAACGGGGCGTCGCGACGCCGGTGCTTTGCATTTCATTGATCCACGTCGTTGTGTCAGGGACAGATCCGCAACACGGCGCGCCGTTACGTACGGAAGCGATTTGGAAATCCTCCCGCGAGCTAAACCGGTTGAACCCTGCGGCGAGAGTGGCGACAGGCTCGAGTCATCAACGTCGATGTACATATGTGTACCGCGAAAATTTCGATTCGTTTAAAACCCGAGCTTCCGGGACTGTGTGAGTCGTTTTTTATGCGAGCTTATAATTCTTACTTTTCTTATTTTGGTGTATTTTTCTTCCCCTTGTGTATTCTTCTTGATATTTTATTATAATGTTATATCTATTAGCCATTGTTCATGCAGGAAAATGCATACTGCATTCAAGTGCGTGTTACTTGTTTCAGGTATTTTGTAAGTTTATCCGTATATATGTCATGAGTTCATCACCCGCAATGAATTGGGGGGAATTCACTCAAAGTATTGGGTTGATCGGAAAGTCATCTCGTTTTTCAGAATAATTAAATTAATAGTTTCTTGAAGTAGTTAGATTTAATATTTGGTAAATATTTCCTTTTAGATCATGTATGCGTACGTCAAGTTTAAGCTAAGTGTATGTAACGCAACGCAAAAGTCAACTATTCCGAAAAACTAGATTTTCTGAACCCAAACCATTCTGGATCTTTGAAGATTTAGCATTTCAATCAGGGATATTAAATTAAAACGAAAACTCGATTTGCTTATCACACAAAATCGAAGCAAACTTTTCTTGTATAAAGTTTTATAATATTCTCAAAAAAAGAGAGAAAGAATAAAATTTTTTTTTTAAATACATGACAAAAAATGAAGTTTTTTTATTTATAATGAGTATTTTTAAGACTATTATCAAGAAAGTATTGTCTCTTAAAAATAGCCATTACTTAAAAAAAGAAAGTAAACTGAGTAATCGCTTTTTATAGCAGCAGAATGAATATTTTTCTATATGCATATTATATCGATATGTACACCCAAAAAACATAATCTCACCTTTAGCGAAACCCTTTTATGTTATGACCTCAAGAAGATTCTTCTAAGATATATTCTAATATCCAAAAAAGGACACCAAAGCTTCAAGAGGATTCTTCAAAGATCAAAAAGGGAAACATCATAACACTCAAAAGAAACCTTAATCATAAAATGTTATTTATTACGATCCCAAGTTTTAAGCAAAAACTTTTTCCGAAAGAGTATTTTCCCGAAAGTTTTATTTCTCGTCCAATGAAAAGGAATAGAACTGCGCTTGGAATATTTCTATTGGAGAAATCCTCTTGCGGCTATATATATAAAATTCTGCCAAGGACGAGATTATATTTTTTGGGATATATATTGAATAAATCTCCCCGTCCATCTATTTGCCTATCTATCTCGAGTCTCCCGTTTCAATTAATATTTGAAATTAGCCGGGCACCAGGTCGTCGTGTACTCGAGGTCAACTCGACGCGGCCCCGAGTCCGTGGCCGGCTTTTAGCGGTGGCTCTCTGTTTCTCTATGCATCGATACAGACTGCACGGCACTTTCGGAGTTTGGTACGGTCACCCACGCAGATTGCAGTGGCCAGCCGGCTTATCGACTGCCCGGCCCAGTGTGTGTACCTGATGTGCCCCCGACCGGTTGTTGGTTAGCGCGCGCGGCCTGCGGTTTACAATTTCGCTTTTACGGGCTGAGATAGCTTGTCCAAAAAGCTCGTAACCTTGAATACGCCCGCAGTTTGGTCCGGTTCGATAGCGTAACCTTCGTTATTTCGCGTGAATAAACGCGACCCACTTCGGTCCCGACGATTTCAGACCTTAAAATTGTAATCTCGCCCGGAAAAGTCACTTATTTACGCGAATTCGCGCGAAATCCCGCCGAGTCGATTGCCATCGTCTCCTGGGCGACAGGAAATTCCACAATTTCCAGGATTCTGACTCGGGTAATGCGAGAAACGCGCGCGGATTTAAAGATTTAAAGTTGGGAGAGCACTTTGCTGCAGATAAGAGAAGTGGAGAGAGAGAGAGAGAGAGAGAGAGAGAGAGAGAGAGAGAGAGAAAGAGAGAAAGAAAAAAGAGGAGACATAGTTATAAAAAAGAGAATCCATCATCGTGCTCATTAAATATCTGTCCGCGGCGCATGACACGCAAGATTCAATTAAAATAACATCCCGCCGGCCGGAATATCAATGTCCGCGCGTCCCTCACGAAAACTCGACTTTCCGTTCGGAATGGTTTCCTCGTTAGCGGAAATTACTTGGAGATATCAACGACGGTATCCCCCGGGGTATGTGCGGTCGGCATCGGCGGCATGCTCAACACCACTCCGGAGCCGCACATTTAGCAGGCTGGTCGTTGCACCGCGCTAACTGTAATATAGGCTAACTATTCCCATGAGGAAGCCGATGTCTCCGTGGGTGCGCACAAGTCCGCAAGTTTAGCCGCGTATACCACCGGAATACTTCCGCGTAGCTTAGCCACGGAGACACAGTGACACAATAAGATGAGAAAGGCGCGGGACAGGCGAGGAGAGGCATCCGCGAAATGACGCCCGTTTAACTCTGCCGCGTTTAATGGCTCGCGTATGTCTCATAAAGTTGAAAAAAGAATTTTCTTAATTTAAGACGCGCATCACATCCTTGCGACACAAAAAAGCCAATATACTTTA